TACACGGTGGAGTGCAAGAGAAAAGGCAGTAAAAATCGTCATTAAAATCTGGATGAATTTTCTTGTACCTTTGCATTTTTGGAGAAATCTTTTATCATCTATCAATCGAGTGCAGAAACGTCTTCAGGTCCCCAAAAATGAATTTTAGAGAAGCAGCTTCTGATCTTGATTCTTTGAAAGAGAAATTGATATAATGACGTGAAAAGTCCTGTCAAGAAGCACTTAAATTGGGAAAGAATCAATGTGAAACATGGGGATTGACCATTGAAAGAAGAAAAATACGTCATAAACGAATGCCAGGTGAAAATGCAGCTGATGCTGGATTGACTGCTGAACAAGAAATTTATCGCACCATGAAGGATGTTCTTGATCGCTTGATTACAGAAATAACAGGAAGATTTTCTCGCTTACTAGATTTAGATTCAAGGTTTGGATTTCTACTAGATGTGCAAAATATTGTTTCTGGAGATTTCGAAGACAGAAAGTTGCAAGAAAAATGTTCTGACTTAGCAAAGAGCTATCCAGGGGATATTGATGGACCAGAATTGTACAGAGAAATTAAAGACTGTAGAATGTTGATAAGTAAAAGAACACAGGCCGATTTTCCTGAACCAATGGTTGCAACTGATTTGCTAACATTTATAATTTCATATGGTGAAGATGTTTTCTCAAATTTAAGAATTACATTGCAGATTTTGTTAACAATTGGGGTTCTATTGCTAGTTGTGAAAGGTACTTCAGCAAGCTAAAATTAATTCTTACACACTTGAGAACCTCAATGACTCAAGAACGACTTAGTAACTTGGCAATATTAAGTATTGAAAAAGACCTTAAATCTTGATAGTTTAACTGATGCATTTGCAGCAGCAAAAGCACGAAAGGTTCATATAATGTAACCATGAATACCAGAATGCTACTTGTACAAGATCTAGTTAAGTATAAGTACAGTTTTGTAAACTAATAAAAGTTGTTATTTGTAAACTTAATTAGTATTTTATCAATCTGTTTTATAATCCATGTACACCACAAGTGACTGGCTTCTCATATAAAACATAAGTTTCAAAACTAGAGATATAACAGTAATTTATTCTGCATGCTTGAAAGATTACTCTAGCTTTGTGACTTGTAACAATACTGGATGACATAAATATCAAAATGGTTTACAAATTATGTAAGTACACCTAGTAGGCTATACTTCATTAGTTCGAGGTTTACAGTTGTGAAATCGTGAGATGTTATATTGTGACTTTATTTTAGGCCTGTGTAAGGCGGTAATTAATTCTTAATGTTATTGTCATTAAGTGGGTAATGAGTCACAAAACAAATAATCAAAACATTTCAGAGGTGGGGGCGCCAAAAGTGTCTTTGCCCCCGGGTGCTGAGAGCCCTTGCTAAGCCACTGCAGTATGTCCACCTGCTGGTTGCTAAAATAGGGTTTGAATGCACACAATGACATAGTCATCTAGAATATATCAACCTAATAACCCGAGCGAAGCCGGTGCTTTCGTTAATATATATATATATTTATTTATGCACGTGTGTGCAGTAAGGGAGGCAGTATGTTTGACTACAACGCGAAAAATCAATCAAAAGTATTATAAGTAATGCGATTCACTGCGCCGAAAAAACAAAAATTATATGGCACATTTTTACAACTATCATCAGTACACGTACAACTTTATATGTATAGAGTAAGTGTAGGAGGTTTATGTCACGCAAGACAGCGAACTCAGCAGAGGGGATATATATCTGAGGTACAGTTACAGCTGTTCATGCACCATTTCTGGTTACTATGGCAAATAACACCACGGGTTGCTATGGGGCTTGGTATCAAAATAAAACACAGCCTCATATTTTTTTGTGAAGTCGTGTTTTATAACGATTTTTACAACAACAAAAATTAAACATCTCTGTATAATGTCAAAACCATTGGTTGCTATGGTGTCATATACGTAATATGTAAGGTGACTGGGTTCAATTGACCTTAATTTGCTTTAATTTTATACCACGTTTTACGATTCGCCATGAAACGACGTACAATATCGTCTGTTAATCTGCGTGATTAAGAGAAAACAGATAATGTGTGTCACTAAATTTATCACAAAGTCTATAACTTCACAAAATATGATATACATGACGGCCAAACTACTAAAATAAATTGCCAACTCATTTTTGATGGTTTGTCTGCGAAAGGTATAATTACAACCATCGAAATCTCGCCAGACCGCAAAGTAAAAATTGATACCACAAAAATGATTTTTATTCTCATAAACGATAGCATATTCTTCCATAACTGACACACACACTCTTGTCTTTACAAGCTGTGAGGTAGAGCGGTTGGCCTTGAAGCCAAGATATATTTTGGTGGGAAATTTACGTAACCAAGCGCGTGTCCCCATAATTCATGGATGAAAAAAAAATTAATTTGTGAAATAAAAATTTTCATCTTAAACTTATATAGTACAAGGTTACTTAAACAACTGCTTACCTCTGCACGAAAACTACTATTTGACACAAACAAAACAAGTTTTTCATACTAAACATAATGGATTCAGTAAACTGCTTGTGTGTAGATGCACATGATGAAGAACTGTTCCATTATAGAGACAAATTCGAAAAGTATGTACATCAAACCAATCTATTCCACCAGATTTGCCCGAAACTACGATACCACACAATAGCTTGACATCCAGACTAAGTTCGTCCTTAATCTTAAAAAGGTATTTTCTTCCCATAACTACACAAAACTTATTTAATTTTACTTTATTTTCTAAACTAACCTAGCTATATCTTCTCTATATTTATATTGTCCTAAAATTAAGTACTTTTACTGAATTATAAGTAATAACTGTTAGTAGTGTGATGATATTAAATGAAGTTTTACTGACAATGACCAGGTGTCGCTGTGCAACGTTTATTAACATATTACTAACACAGCCGTATGAAAACTTTCTAAATATAGGAATATTGAAACAAATAATGAAAACTATACAGAATCAGCTAAACTCAAAATGTTCTGAAGAAAACAAGTGCCAGCCCCACACACCTTAGCTTGGGCAAGGCTCTGGGAAGCCGAAACGGTACTCTATGAACATTAAATTACAGGTCAGCTTCACGAAAACGTTTTTCTTCTTATCGAACTAACTTTCCAAAAAAATTATACCTATTTGATATACTTATATAATTATTTAACTCCTCATACACTACTTAATTCGTGTATTTCACTAAAATATAAAACAATAATGATGTGAGTGAGATACGCCTTACACACACAATAAAATTTGTTCATCGAATTTTATTATGTAATAATTCGCAAGAAATTCTAACATGCACTGACTGTACCTGGTCAACTTGTTTTTACCCATCAATTACTTTATATAATACTTTAATAATACCTCCCCCTTCATCTAATCTTAATTTACATTTAATCATCATTAAGCTAACAACTTTACCGCACAAATCTTTCGACCAATTAGAAGGTCGTAAAACACAAAAATCTCCCTTCCTACCAAGAGGTAATAAAATACACAAACCTTCCGTCCTATTAAGATGCCATAAAAAACTACAATTAAAATATTCTAAACTTGCACCCTATCTATTTGCCCAAAATGCCAAGATCTACATTAATTGCTCTTTCTTTTCAAAATAGAAGTTATATTGAAGGACCGATATTTTATTTCTCTAAACAGTTCTTAAATTAACGAAACCTTTGTAACAAAAGATAAATGCTTTATTATAAAACAAATTTTTAATTGTTATCCTTTATCAATAACATTTTCTCCATAGTCACGAAAACATGTCAACACTGAACGTAGAATTATTACGGAACTTCGTTCTTCATAACAATTATTTACACTAAGAACTGGACTACTTATGTTTTAAGTTTTCCAGAGAATAAAACGCAGGTTTAACGAGTGTATCATGTCCGATAATTAGTTTTCATTGTAAATTTAATTTGTATGTACACTTTAAAAACATTTGTCTGTCACCTTAATGACACGCCTAAGATTCATTGAATGCAATAGTAGTCTTATGATTTGATAACACGTTTTTTTTTAGTTTTTTTAATGTTTTGGCTCACCCACACTTTGGTTGCTGTTTTTTTACCATATTATCTTTTGTCTTAAAATGTCTTATCATTTTATAGTTTATACTTATTTAGGAACAAAATACAATGCCTAAAAATGCTGTTCACTTTAAAAACTTGCTATATTCACTTGTAATAGATATAAACTGGTTTGTAATGAAAATATGAAACATATATTTCCAATTAATCAAACTTTATAATAATGATATTCCAGGTCCTATGCCACCTTTGGAACTACTTTATCCATCGTACTCACTATGTTTGAATGAATACAGGGAGGCTAGTGGTACACTACAATCTTAACTGGCTCTCTATAAACCTCCCTTGTACATGGATGTCGGCTTCCACCATCAAAGGCATACACTTCTATTACACTGCATCAGAGAACTTTTTTTAAAAGTGAAAACAACTACTAAGTACTAGGTGTGGCTGAAAGCATGTGAGCCTTTATCAACTTCAAATCTTTATCTTGTTAATTGTACCAGAGATATGCCCAGTTTCATTGCAATCGTTTTCAGGTTCACTTTCGTAACTATACCCATCAATTTGTTGGTGACAGTGTTTCTCCAGACTGGCCTAGGCATAGATTCTGAGGGTACTACTACCCTAAACATTCTGCTGTAAGTTCCATTTCCACATAGAACATTGAAGAACCTCTTCTTTGAAATGATGTGTCCTGTGACTACATAATTTATAGTCTTGCTATACAGATATCATTGTCGCGAAAAGGGCTGTGACATGTTTCCAGTACACATGGTGTATAGGTATTAAACATGTCATGCATAGTGCCACACATTGCATCTGAAGTGACATGTCACAGCACTAGCATATGTAAATCACTCTTATACAGTGCAATTAACCCTCTATACATGCAAGACAGAAACGTTGCTTGAAATCCATAGTTGTTCTTAAAAATATTTAAAATGTGGCTTCAACGTGTAAATGTATATATGGCAAATTGTCTGAAGGATTTCACAATTACCTATTTTTCATAAAAATCCTGTCAAATTTTGATTTACTCTGTGATGGAAGGTTTTCAATAAAACAAAACACAAATACACATAAACCACTTTCTTCACATACATATGTATGTATGTATCAAAATACAGACATTTATTTGTACCATCTAATTCTGGGACAGCAAAAACCAAATTCACTTGAACAAGGCTTCCAGAAACTGTATAACTGCATTGTAGATACCACACTTCTGTGTATCCAGTAACAGTATGGGACTGTACAGCTTCATCAACTGTATCTAAAACACAGTAGAAGGCTAGTGAATAGTGATTTCTTGAATGACTAAAGACTGCCTAAATAAAAAGGTGGTTAGCACAAACAGAGAATTCCACTAAAACCATCTCTATGAATCAGTGTAGTGACAGAAAATTCTATAAAATAACAACAGTAAGAAACACATTTGCAAAACACATACATTTTGAGAAAGCTATCAAAGCTGACGAGAATATCAATTAAATGATTATGAGGTAACATTCAGTTGTATACTATAGATGTAGCACTACACAGCTGTTCAACACTTCTCATTTAATCTAGTTTTATCAGTATTGTAATTTCACTCTCTATGACATCTACAGAGAAAGTTATTATTAAGTTAAAGTTTGTCAGAGTTAAGTTTAGTTTTCAATCTCTACTCTCTGTATTAAAATTTGTGAGTATTTAAAATAGTGCATTTTCTTGTTTACCTCTCAAGGTTTTGCATGTAGTATTTACCAAATTGAAAAACTGTGTACAAAAACTACAGAAAATATTATTGCAAGCATTTACAAACTAGTAAATAAAAGTATAAAAATACATTTGTAAAAGATTTTGAAAAGTTTGTATTTCAATGAAAAATGTACATTAATAAGACCACTGCAAGCCAAATAACCTAACAAAATATATCTGATATAAGCACCAATCAATTTAATGTTATTGGTAACCTTTCAGTAACATACAGCTGACATCAAAGAACAAATGTGAATTTTGTAAAATACATAGGTAATTATCTTAAAATCTGCTACTCATTTGATGAGAAAATAACCATAAAACCCAGCTGACAAATATCTACAAATCAACAGGAAATTAAGAAACACAGTATTTCCATATTATAAAATCATACTCATAGTGATGTAATGAAGTTTTAAGTACAAATACTCATATATCAAATAACTGATATAGTGCCAGTTTGCTATAAATGCTGGTTAAAGAGCATTGTAATGAAAGTGTACAATTATCACAATGTCATAAAACTATTTACCAAGAATTTTAGAGGATAAAAAATAAACAAGTCTACAACAACATTAACACTTGAAATACAGTGTCACTGTATATTAGTACATTTCAGCACTTAAAATTATAAGGATTAAGTAAAGAGCAAAATTGCACATTTAATGAAGCTTTTAAGTGTTTGAATGTGCAATACAGCACATCAAAAAAGTGCATTAAACTTGTATAGAGCTTCATTGTGCAACTTCAGGATAGACTTCAAGTGAAAGAATTCCTAGTTATACAAAATTATTAGGAACTACAAATTTTTAAAGCTTTCAAGTTAATAACACATTTTTGGATTTACATGTACCTACCAATTGTATGTTATTATTTTTTTCTTTTCCCACAAGGATAGTTCTAATACCCATACCAAAAAATGACACTGTAAAATAAGATGTCAGAATTATGCTCATAGGTTATATCTATCATAAATGACATTGGTTTATGTGATTGTTAAAATAAAGTAATAATGAAAACAGTAACTTCCTGACCCTAATGTAATTCTAGAAAACAGTACAAGTTAGAAGCAAACAAATCAATGCATGTTTATATATTTACATATTATCACTGTATTTAAGTTTTACTTAAATATCCAGCTAACAGGTGGTGTCCAACATTATTAGAACAGAGAACATAGACCTATACAGCTAGATTTCAGGAGCTTATGATTTCTAAGTTGTTGGATACATATTTCTTTACATTTAGCTGTGCATTTTAAGAATGATAAAACTTAATTTACCAACAACTTCTAATGAGTTGTTTTAACATCTTGCTGTCAGTTTTGCAGCTGATGACCTGAGGATTACCTGTACAAAATTTTATGCAAGTTTATAGTGTAATTTCTATAATAAAAATATTCTATTTATTAATACAGCAATTAAATATATATATATATATATACATATGTGTATGTTTACTAAATCTACTTTATATCATCTTCATAAAGTGTTTATACACTGAGAACAAGTTTATTCAACAAGTATCTTCATGAGTGCCCTCCTTTATTCTAAACAAAAACAGGTTTGTGTAGTTTTTTGTAAGAGCTACAGTAAATGTTAAGTATTGCTAGGAGTTTGTTACGATACACAACCTTAAATACTCATCTACAACTCTTGCTTCACTTAAAAGATCTTTTTACATACTTATCCTTAATGCAAATTAAAATTTTTGCTATATATATATATATATATAGAACAACATGCTAAGTATACACATACACAAACATATATATATATATTTTAAAAGTGCTGTAAATCTCT